GTGCCGGGGGGCTGGGGAGGTTGGTTGCAGTGCCGGGGGGCTGGGGAGGGCCCCTTGCTGAACAAGCCTGGGGAGAAATCCCTGCAGAGCAGCTGCTGAGCGATGTAGAGGGAGATCGGGGGGGGGGGGACGGACCCCCGTGGGGAAAGCTGGGGGGACCCCCTAGGGAGAGCTGGGCTACTCAGCCGTAGGCTGTGGGGCAGGGGCGCTCCGCGGGGCAAGGCATGGGGAGGGGAGCCTGCTGTTCCCTGCCCCGTCCACCCCGTTTCCAGTTCAAAGTGACCAGCAAACCTTCACACATGACGTACCAACCATGGGGTACTTCCCCCCCCCAGCTCTGCCACATGAGGGGGGAGTGGAAAAATCCCTCCCCCAAGCACGACAGACAAAGCCGTGGCCGCGAAGCACCCGATTCCCTGGCTCAGACAAGGCGGGAAACTGACCCCGACTGCCTGAGTCAGCCGAGAGCCTGAACCGGTTGCTTTGAAAGCAGGGGGGAGCTGCCCCGTTCCTTGCAACGCGCTCGTGATGCTGCTTTCGCTGCTTGCCTGAGCCTGCCAGAAAGGAGAGGGGATCTGCCCCAGTATTAAGCGTGGGGGCACGTCCCCCAGAGAGCTAGCTGGGTCGTGGGGGGAGGCCTTTAACAGTGAATGTAGCCCAGCTTCAAGCCCCTTCTCTCCCTGCAGCAAGCACACGAGGCTTTGGGCCTCTGGGAGAGAAGAGTAAGAAAATCTGTGTTGAGAGGAAGCTGCCACGTTAGGAGCCTTATGGCTTTTTCCATGATTCACATTTTTACCCCCCACCCTGCTCCCATCATACCGATCTAGATAAAAAAGAACATTACGGGGACAGACAAAAAGGTTTGCTCTTCCCACATTGCTTGTTTCCCTTTCATCCTGGACACCGCCGCCAGCCGCTCCCGGCCAGCCGCAAATGTTCCTGGTGTGGAAAAACACAAGGAAACTCAGGAAAGGCTGGTCAAGGGCTTGCACTGGATAAGGTGTGGCTGTTGCGTTCGAGACAAGCCGCCCTCTGGCGTTTTCCTAGTGCATCGCATGCCTGCTGGGAAAAACAGGGCCTGTACCCCGGTACTGCATAGTTTTGCTTGACTGCAGGTGGCATAGGGACAGTCCTGATTTTGGGGGGCTTTTTCTTATATAGGCACATATTACCAGGGCTGGTGCAACCATTTAGGTGACCTAGGCGGTCGCCTAGGGCACTAGGATTTGGGGGGCGCCATTTTCTTCGGCAGCGACCGTGGCGGCCGGATCTTCGGCCTCCCCGGTCACTGCCGGCATTTAGGCGGAGGGAGCTGGGGCAGTGGAGCGCGGGGAGAGCCGCCTGCAGCAAGGGGGGGGGGGCACGCTGGGGAACTCCCCACCCCAGCTCACCCCTGCCCCACAGCGTGCTCGGGGAGGAGGTGGAGCAGGGGTGAGCTGCTTCACTTCTCCCGCCTCCCAGGCTTGCGGCGCCAATCAGCTCAGGAGGCGGGAGAAGTGAAGCCGCGACGGCGTGCTCGGGGAGGAGGCGAGGCAGGGGTGAGCTGGGGCAGGGGGGGTGCCTCAGGGTGGGGAGCTGCCGCGGGGCAGGGCGCCTCAGGGCGGGGCTCGGGGACGGCGGGGAGCGCAAGGTGGACGTTTCGCCTAGGGTGCGAAACATCCTTCCACCGGCCCTGCCTATTACCCCCTGCCCCAATTTTTTACACTTGCTGTCTGGTCACCCTACTAGAAGGGGACATGTCTTATTCCCAGTCTCTGCACTCACCGGTTGTCTCTTGTCGTGTTGATTCTTTGCATGGCCTGCGTGCCCTACTGGCCGGGATCCCGTCAGGCTAGGGCCCGCACGGACACAGACCAAGGGATGGCGCGGCTGGCCCCCCAAAGCTGCCAATCTGTGTAGACAACTAGAGACAGGAGCTAGGAGGGAGACAAGCAAACAAGGGGCAGCACTGGTCAGCATAGTGAACGGGGGTCTCGGGACGCGACCAGCCTCACCGTTGTCAATTTTTCTGTAAGGGGCAGAGTCTAAAATCACCCCCCTAACCAAGACAGCTGTCCCAGTAAAATGTGGGCTCGGTGGATACTTGAAGTAGCCCAGGGGTACGCAGAGGTCCTCCAGGGGGTACATCAACTCCTCTAGATACTTGCCTGCATACCAGGTGACATAAAAAGCACTAGTGCCGTCAGTCCAAACTAAAATCTCATGCAGCCCAAATGAGAACGTCAGCAACCGTTCAATCACAGCATGGCAGGGACGCGTCTGTATTTCCGTGTCTGATTTTGTAAGCACGTCGTTTTTACAGAGGGTGGAGGGTTAGAGCAGGGGGGGCTGGGAGCCAGGACTCCTGGGTTCTCTCCCCAGCTCTGAGAGGGGAGTGGGGGCTGGTGGGTTAGAGCTGGAGGGCTGGGAGCCAGGACTCCTGGGTTCTCTCCCTGGCTCTGGGAGGGGAGTGGGAGCTAGTGGTTAGAGCAGGGGGGCTGGGAGCCAGGACTCCTGGATTCTCTCCCAGCTCTGGGAGGGGACTGGGATCTAGTGGTTGGAGTCAGGATTCCTGGGTTCACCCTCTCTGGGTCTGACACTGCCCCCCTTTACACGAGTGGGCTGGATGCATCTGCCCACTGCACCGCTTCTGATTAACTCCATTCACACGCTTGTGTCCTGTCTCCTGCCCGGTAGCTACTCTCTGTCTTTGCTCTCCGACCTCAGCTGGAGCCCTCTGACCCCAACTCTTCTTCCGGCCCATTTCATCCCCCCCTTGCACCTGGACTGGGCCCAAGCGGTAATGCCCAGGCCCCGAACCGCCCATTTCCCAGCCTCGCATGGGCCCGTAGCAAATGGCAGAAAAGCCACTGATGTTTTTTGGTGGGGGGTCGGCTTCATCTGTGGCGTGTGGGAAGCAAACAGACGAGTCCGTCTTGCAATGCCCCCACTTTTACAAGCGGGAACCCGTTGGCTTCAGCCTGCTCCAGATTCAAGCCGGCGTCCGTGAGCGGAGATGCCGGCCGGTTTCCACGGGCAAGCTGGGCATGGGCAGGGACCCACCAGACCCCCGGCCCACCACCACTCCCGCTGAGGGGCAGGCCATGCCAGCCCAACGTCTGGGCACCGCGGCGGGCAGGCGGGACGGATCTGAGCCTGTCTGCCGGGTGTCCTTAGTGGGGTGATGTGTGGCCAGGGGCCGGGTTGGGGCGGAGACGCCCGTAGATGTTAGGGATCATGGCAGGTGCCGGAACCAGGAGCTGAGGGGTTTCTGCGCCCCCCATGCCCCGGTCCCGTCCAAGCGCCTCGCAGTCTGGGGGACTGAGCTGCCGGTCTCGGAGGAGCAGCCGCCCGCCCGTTTCCAGCCCTCCCAGTGGCTTTTCCCGCCTTTTTCCAGCCCCCCAACGGTTCCTCCAGCCCCCCAACAGTTTCTCCAGCCCCCCAATGGCTTTTCTGCCTTTTTCCAGCCCCCCCAATGGGTTTTCCGGCTCCCCAACAGTTTCTCCAGCCCCCCAATGGCTTTTCTGCCTTTTTCCAGCCCCCCAAATAGTTTTTCCGGCCCCCCAACAGTTTCTCCAGCCCCCCAACGGTTTTTCCCGCCTTTTTTCAGTCCCCCAACGGCTTTTCCCGCCTTTTTTCCAGCCCTCAGGCTTGCGCTGTCTGAGGTGAGGGGAAGCCGCCCCTGTGCGAGCGTGTGTCCCCCCCGCGCCCTGTCCCCTTGGCCGTGCGAGGGGGTGGGGGAAAGGGGGCAGTCGACCCCCCCGTGCCCTGTCCCCAGTAGGGGGGTCGAGGGGGTGGGGGAAAGGGGGCAGTGACCCCCCCGTGCCCTGTCCCCATAGGGTGGTCAGGGGGTGGGGGAAAGGGGGCAGTGATCCCCCTGTGCCCTGTCCCCATAGTGGGGTGAGGGGGTAGGGGAAAGGGGCAGTGACCCCCCCCACGGCCTGACCCATAGGAGGGGTGAGGGGGTGGGGGAAAGGGGGCAGTGACCCCCCTGTGCCCTGTCCCCATAGGAGGGGTGAGGGGGTGGAGGAAAGGGGGCAGTGACCCC